GATCCATCTTAACAGCCTTCTTAAAGCTGTCTAAGGTGGAAATAAGACCGATCTCGTCCGGCAGGCCATTCCATAATCTGGGAGCAATAGCAGAAAAGGCCCTCTGGGAGGTCACTGACAGCCTAGTATTTACAAGCTGTAATAAATTCCTCCCAGAGGACCGGAGCACGCGGGGTGGATCATACGGGAGGTGGTGGTCCTGGAGATAGGTTGGACCCAAGCCATGTAGGGCTTTAAAGGTCATAACCAACACCTTGTACTGTGCCTGGAAACTAATGGGCAGCCAGTGGAGAGATTTTAGTACAGGAGTTATTTCTTCTTGGTCATGTGGTATGTTCCCCAGCTGGTCATCCCCACTTTTGGTTTACATTTCCCTTTGATTTCTCAGATCTTGTTGAAACAAAAAATTAGGAGATATCTTCCCACTTTATGAGCTGGCATCACTGAGTCCCAGCATAGTGTATTGTTTTGAGTGTTGGCCTTGGGAAAGTCATACTCTCTCAGCCTCAAAAGAAGGCAATGGCAAACCCCCTCTGAACAAATATTGCCAAGGAAGCCTGTAATAGGTTCACCTTAGGGTCCCTATAAGTCACAAATGACTTGAAGACACACAATGACTGATGAGTGAGGAAGGCATGGGTAGACATGGACAGGGCAGGGTTGGTGGCACCCAGTTGGCACTGCCCTCACCCTGTCCAGGTATCCCCCCACTCCATATCAACAAGAACAACAGCACAACAACATTTTGACAAAATGCAGGCTTGTGGCTAACATTGTAATATTTTATTTACTTATTTGTTCCTGTATGAGCTTTAACACCTTGCCTGATACAGAGGCCAGTGGAGCTTCAAAAGCTTGCATCATGTATTTTGTGCATTTTGGCTGGCCAAATAAATGTATCACTGTTTTGTGGATTTTGGATGTTAACTGTACAATATACATAAGAATGCATACAAAAATATATCTACAAGATAGTTTTAAGCAGGAATTTGACTCTGGGGCTGCCAATAAGACTGTACTTTCCCTCCTTAAAAGTGAATCCATTTTGGACTTCAGCACAAAACTGGAATTTTGAGAAGATTTGCTAAGGAAGAGCTTCTCTACATTGTTAAATACAAGATGACATTTTGCTTAGGTTGGAAGCTGGCAAGTACTAACATGACAATCCCATTGCTGATACCCAGAACGTGCCCTGCCCTGTCTGTTACAAATTTGTGTGTGTGTGTGTGTGTACCTTCGAGTCACCTGTTGATTTATGGCGACCCCATGAATTTCATAATGTTTTCTTAGGCAAGGAATATTTAAGAGATGGTTTTGCCAGTTGCTCTCTCTGAAATATCACCTACAGCACCTAGGATTTGGTGGCAGCCTCCCATCCCAGTACTAACCAGGCTGACCCTGCTTAACGTCTCGGATCAGACAGGAGCTGACGCCTTTAGGATATACACAACAGAAAGAAAGCTCTTTAACCACAGAACCCTTCCCAAGTGGTTAAGGTCATCTAGCCTAGAGCTTCATTGAGGATGCAATTAAACTTCCCAAGGCCTGCCATGCTCTCCAGGAAATTTGCTGCCTGTCATATCTTATTGTTCATTCAACAAAGCATTTGCTCTGTGGCTGTGTTGCTCCAGGGGATGTCACCTGTTTATGCACAGACAAATGCAGTCCTCTGCCCCTGTTGAATGCTGCAACTGGGCCCAAAACTAAGGAACTGCCAAATAGTAGACTAGGTGATGAAAGTGAAAGGCTGCATTCTTATCCTCAGCCCCTCCAGACATCCCCTTGATATGTTGCCTCTAATATAATAAAACCCTGATGTTAGCAAATCTGGGCTCCTTTGCTGCCTTATTTTCTCCTGCTATAGATGCACCACATTGGTGGCCTCTGTTCATTTCTGCTACTTAAACGTTTGATGAAGATATTCTCCACCTCTCTGTCAGCTCCTCCTCTGTCTGCTTTTCCCTGATGCACAAATATTCTAATGAATGAGTTTGCTTTCTTCTCTGGCAAC